ATATGCGTAGCTAGTTAGCTACCCACCCATTTGCCTATGTTACCTAACTCAGCTATTAGCTTGACATATGTAGCTAGTTACCTACCCAGGGTTTCTTCTACATAAGAGGCACAGTGACGCACCGCCGTTGTCAAATTTAACATCGCCGTTGTGAAAATCTTCCTGTATTTACCCGCCGTTGTCAAACTAGTGTCAATCCAAAAATAAATGGATCACCACGTACTTCTGACTATATACATGGAAAATCGTAATGAAATTCACAGCAACGTTTCTTTTTGCGTGCCGGCACACTCCTGTGTCATTACCGATTGCAGCTTTTTCCTCGATTCCGGGAAAGTTTTCCTGTCGCTCCCTCATACCAGAGGTGCCCACCCTATGGTGTACGGTTTGTCAATTTAGTCCAACCATATTTCGGTTTACAAACACACACCACATTGTAACGCCACCAACACGTTATTTATAAAAACCTTATCTTCCTTTACAGAAACACGTGTACATATTTCCTACCAACAGGTGCGTGCGCCACCGAGCCACAATTCCCCCCACACTAGTTTGCTAAACCAACACTATACTAGTAGTTGGTAAGCGAACGATACAAGTAGTTTGCACAGAAACATGGTTTTTCGCCTGCAGTACAGAAACATGGTGCCCGTTGGGGGGTTCGGAATCGGCGGCCGCCATATGCGCCCGAGGCTACGTTAACGCGCCACGTACATAGGTCAAAGGTTGCACACTGCGCGGAAAACCATGTTTCTGTGCAAACTACTTGTATCGTTCGCTTACCAACTACTAGTGTAGTGTTGGTTTAGCAAACTAGTGTGGGGGGAATTGTGGTTCGGTGGCGCACACACCTGTTGGTAGGAAATATGTACACGTGTTTCTGTAAAGGAAGATAAGGTTTTTATAAATAACGTGTTGGTGGCGTTACAATGTGTATGGTTGGGGGAAAATATGGTGTGTGTTTGTAAACCGACATATGGTTGGACTAAATTGACAAACCGTACACCATACCACCCCTACATGTACAGCAATAAGCACGCCCACGCGACTAACAATCAGTGCATCCCCCCCCTCCCCCCCCCCCGTACTTCAATCAATAC